CCCGAGTGTGTGCTTCAGAAAAACACCCACATCAACCGAGTGTGTGCTTCAGAAAAACACCCACATCACCCGAGTGTGTGCTTCAGAAAAACACCCACATCAACCGAGTGTGTGCTTCAGAAAAATGCCCACATCAACGGAGTGTGTGCTTCAGAAAAAACCCACATCAACGGAGTGTGTGCATCAGAAAAAACCCACACCACCCAAGTGTGTGCTTCAGAAAAAACCCACATCAACCGAGTGTGTGCTTCAGAAAAAACCCACATCAACCGAGTGTGTGCTTCAGAAAAATGCCCACATCAACGGAGTGTGTGCTTCAGAAAAAACCCACATCAACGTAGTGTGTGCATCAGAAAAAACCCACATCAACCGAGTGTGTGCTTCAGAAAAAACCCACATCAACCGAGTGTGTGCTTCAGAAAAACACCCACATCAACAGAGTGTGTGCTTCAGAAAAAACCCACACCACCCAAGTGTGTGCTTCAGAAAAAACCCACACCACCTGAAGTGAAAGCAGATCGAATATTAACAAATCTACTAATAAATCATGCCATTATAGTTTAAGTTCAGGTTTGCCCTTTTAAAAGAAAGTAAAGCAGATTAGATACGCAAAACAATTTTTAATATAAAAGTTAATGTGGAATAAATGCAACAAATACTCTTTCCCATCTTACATGTAAATAGAGTTTTTGTGATTTGTCGTAATACACTTATGTACAAACATTTACATAATAGAGAATATGTATATACATTCTTTGAATATATTATTATTTACATATTTTAACTTGGACAATTAGGTTGGAAGTAAATCTACTGACAGCAGAAGGCCACACAGGGTGTGGTATGGTTTGGTTAAAAGACCATAAGCTGTCGACAGAGTCAAACACAGCAACAGATCAGGTATTATTTTTGAATTCTAGCTTTTGTGGGTGAAAGTCAGTCATGAGCTGTTATTTCAGTTCCTCCCCATTCAGCAGACTGTATAAAAATGAATATGTTCACAAAACAACTACCATCACCTTTATGATTATATATTCTAGTTAGCACAATCGGTGCCTAAATAGGCCTCATTACCCATCAGTGAGTCACTTTTACATGGCTACACGAAAATCAGGAAGCGGTATTAAGCACTGCACATTCAAGCTGTTACTCTGCTCTTAACAAGCCCTCAAAACCTGATCCTTGAAGTCCACAATTCCTAGTAACTTTTTGTGTCTCCTGAATCTGGCAGAAAACTGAGCAAAGTAGCATAACAACATACAGATGCATCCCAGAATCCCCATTCCTCCAGACAGTGCTGCATCTATTTAATATGATAGTCTAGCCTTCAGTGCATGTGTGAGTAAATGGTGTGTGAGTGTGTCCTGCGATGGGTTGGCACACCCCTCCTGGGCTCCTGACCCTCCGAATAGGACAAACGGTGACGGAAAATTGATGGATGGATGGAGTCCAGCTTTCATAATTTACAATACTATAGTCCAGGTAGATCATCCTTTTACAAAAGCAGCAGCAGAAGGGGGAATAGCGCCACCAAAAGCCCAGGGGTGGTCATCACTGGGCCTAGTGTCCGTGGTGGGGCCGTGCTACAGAGGTGAGGTCTCTCGGGGGCGGTCTGTTCCAGCTGGCTGGGGGGCAGTGCTTTAAAGTCCTCCAAGGCCCCCAAAGCAGCCGTAGTGAAGTCAAGGTCTCCAGTGGCCAGTAGGTCAAACACGCACAGTTGGAAATAGACGTCCTCCGTGCGCAGGGTCTGGCGGCAGAGTGCGGCGGCCAGCTCGGCGCTGTAGCCCGGCCGGGGAGGGAGGGGCTGAGCGGGAGCTCGCTCCGGGTGGCCCGACAGGGGCCTGTCGATCAGCTCGCTACGCGGGCATCCATCCCGGCAGAGCTGCAGGGAGCCGCCGTTGCCGACATCCAGCACGTCCTCCGGTACCCGTGCGGCAAAGCTCAGATAGCGGCCCGCCCTCCGCACCGCCACGGTCGCCCCCACGTGCCGGGCCTGGATCCACACCTGCTGGCCCCGGGGCCCCACCCTCTCCGTAATCCACAGGCTGCCGCCACCGCGAGAGCCGTCCAGGAACACGGAGGGGAAGTCTTCAGTCGTGGCCTGATACACCTTCTGCTCCGTGCAGCTGGCAAACACCTTGAAGATCACCGTAATCTGGGCGGCACAAAACAGCGGATTAGAAACGATTAGAAACTACAACCTCGTCGCTTTCAATGCCTGTGGGTAACCAGGTACAACAGCTGTTACCCAAGGTTAGTTACACTGACCTTTAATGCCAAGCCAGCAAACAAGGGCTATATTCATAGCAGCAGTATAAGGATATTAAAACAATCTGAATAACCACAAAGTAACAACTACAGTATAAAATGTAACAAACACTTAAAACACCATGTACAGATGCTGTCACCCAAGGGGTCTGACCTCCAGGTGACAGCTTTGAAGTTACAGGAAAGAGGTCAAGATACTGAATAAAACAAAGTACAGTAACAGTAACCCCTTCACATTTGTAAGGATTAGGGGCAGGAGATCCCCGCAAATGTCAACATCTGCGAATAATACTTAGGTCCTTTATTAAAAATGCAAAATTAACGTCATTGAAAAGTTTAAAAGTTACTGCGAGATTCCACAGTCACAGAGACAGAGACGTGTGGTCTGCCCAAGACAAGATACACAGATCCCACAGTTCTTTTAATACCAAAAATAACTTTAATATGAAAGATATAGTATGCATTCACACTGCCAAATATTACATAACACTTATATGAATATAATTAATGACTTTATGTGATCGAAATCATTTTCAGTATTGTTTATATATTCTTGGCTTACGCGTCGTCTAAAAATTTTGCCAATTCACAAACAACTGAAATCATGCATGTCAAATTCGTGAATCTGGAGGAGGGAGCGTACTTGAAAAAAGGCTCTTCCCAGATTACAATGGGGTTACGTTCCGATAAACCTACCGTAAGGTAAAAATGAAGTGAAAAGTTGTCTCTCTTGACACACCGCAACACAGAACCATGCCCTCCCATTTAACCCATATGTGACATAGCAGGGGGCGGCTAATTGAGCACCCAGGGAGCAGGGTGTGGGGGTGCTACCTTGCTCAGGGTGCCTCGGGGGTACTTTGAAGGCAGGGGTGTCAAACCTGCAATCTTTTGCTTACACATGGGTAGCGATGTAACGATACACTCAACTCACGATTCGATACGATTCACGATTCTGAATTCACGATACGATTTTCTCACAATTTTTTAACAATGAGCTGCAGACCAATTTATTAAAAAATATTCCTTTATTTATCTTTCTAAACTGTGCAAAATGTGTCCTCTTCTTAACAGTGCAACTGAAATTGATTAAAATACTGTTTTAAAAAATTCCAAATCAAAATAAGTAAATAAAAAAAATCTTCAAATAAATAAATTAAGGCTTGCATGTGCAACGTTTTAGCGTGGTTTCCCCTTTTAATAATCTTCGCTCAGCGGTGGACATGCTGAAGCATGTTCGTTGTGCTATTTCTGTATGTTATCAGTCTTTTACAATGCTTGCACGCAGTGTCTGTCTTGTCTGTGCTTTTCTCGCCTTTTTCGTTTGTGATTACTGGAAAGCTAAAATGCTGCCACACTGCCGATTCAAGATTGGGCGATGCGTCCGTCCATCCATCCATCCATCCATCCGTCCACTTTCTGAAACCGCCTAATCCCAGCTGGGGTTGCGGGGAGGACTGGAGCCTATCCTGGGAACAATGGGACGGGAACCAACCACAGGCAAGGCACCAACACACCTCAGGACGCGAACACACACACACAAACACACACACTCAAACTCACACAATTACAGGGCCAACTGAGACTCGCCAATCAACCCATCCGACACGCTTTTGGACCGGGGGAGGAGGCCGGAGCCCCCGGAGCCCCCGGGGAGAGCGTGCGAACTCCACACAGAAAGGACCTGGGACTGGACCCTCTTGCTGTGAGGGAGCAGCACTAACCACTGCACCACCGCGCCGCCCGGCGGTGTGTCCGAAATTTCAAATTCGCTCACCATCTCGCGTTTGGTCAAAACCAAACGTGAATACGTGCGTGAATACGCAGCGACATCTGACGTCGAACCGACGTCGTGAAATCAAATGTAATATTACACCAGTTTTTCTGTTAAAGTACTGCGAAGTATACTCCTAAAGTAGCAATTCATTTTCCACATCAGCCGATATAAATCGTCATACATTTACATCGATTTTTAACCGATTCGCGATTCATCGTTACATGGGCTTAACTAACCATTAGGCCACCACTGCCCACAAACTTGGAAAAGCAGGATGGAAAATATTATGAAAAATATTGCAAGGCAAAAAATACATTTCAGTACACTACACCTAACCTAACAAACATCATAGCCTAGCCGACCTTAAACATACTTCGAACACTTACATTATCCTACAGTTGGGCAAAATCATTAACACAACAGCCTGTTTTATAATAAAGTGTTGAATATCTCATGTAATTTATTGAATAATGTACTGAAAGTAAAAAACATTTACCCATCATAAATTCAAAATATCGTAACATAGACCATCGTAACCCGGGAAGCGTCTGCTGCACTTGTCCATCCGTAGCTGTCTATCCAGTAAGGAATGGTAGGCTATTCTGGAGACCACAAGGCAGGGGACACTGTGGATGGTCTGCCAGTGTGTCTCAGGGCATGCACACATTCTGCGGGCAAACTGGAGCCAAGCTCTTCGTGAGCCACACCAATACACAGGGAGAATCTGAAAGTCCCACACACACCCTAATGCGCGCACACACACACACACACACACACACACACACACCTACAGAGGCAGCCTTCAAACCCAACTAAGGAGGCCTGATGTTATCCAGTGAATCACCATAACTTCATACTGTTTACTTTGATCATAATCTTTCACTGCACAAGAATTGTTTTAGAACATGACAGGATAAATTCATCTTATCAGATAATTCATAGGTGATAAAGTGCATTGCAGTTATTCCATTTTTTTTTTGCTCTGAAAAATATGAGCCTTTAGACAAAGTTAACCATGCGCTAAATTTGAACTTATTTAAATTAATCAACTTCAACACAGAAAATAAAGATGTAGTACCAGACTACACCACAGGGTGGCATATACTGGAAATGAGGCTTCACAGTGTATTTTGTCAAGAGAACAGGAGCAGTGCGGCAGTTCTGGGATTAGTGTCACATCTGCAGATTTGCAGGTTTGATTCCTGCTCATTCTGATTCTGCTTCTTCTTCCCATCTTCAGGTACTCTATCTGGTCTCCCTAACCATAGTCTTCCAAAAACGTGCAGTTCAGTGTGTGTGTGTGTGTGTGTGTGTGTGTGTGTGTGTGTATTTGTGTGTTTGTGTACATGTATGGCCTGTGACGGACTAGCATCCCATCCAGAATGTACTCTGTCTCATGTTCTGGGCTTCCTTGGACTGGATCTATCACCAAATAGTGGAAAATAATAATAATAATTTATACTTCATAGATTCCCATGGGGAAAGTCTCTTTACCCCTCCCTTTACACAAAGGGCAGCCACCCACAACAGTGCCCAGTTATCAGGGGATTAGGGGCCTTGCTTAAGGACCCTCAGATGCACCAAGGCAGGTTCGACCAGGCAACCTCCCAAGTACAAGCTTAGCCCACTGAGACACACGCTGCCCTAAAAATGAGCAAATATACCCTCACTACCAATATTAGCTTTAAACATTTTCTTTGACCGCCTAAGTCTTTTGCACAGTACTGTATATATCTGACTTTCAGGGTCGTTTTCAGAGCACTTCATGTTTCCACACCAGCAGTCATTAAAACCATTAAAGATTCTATGGCCCGAGACCATCATAAATAGCCCACCTCTGTCATCAGCTATACTGGGCCACAAAGGTAGCTGTGAAATTGAGCTTAAACCAAAACTGAGAAAAACACACAGTGACACACCTTGCTGGTGGCTGTGGCGCTCGAACCTGCAACCACGGGCACGTTGGTCACCTGCACAGACAGGTAGCGATTGTCGATGAGGGGCCAAGCTCCCTGCGCCCTGCACGTCTGGAACTGGCCGCGGAACGTCCGCAAGTGCGGGTCCCCGAACAGGCCGCAGTGGGCGTATCTCCTGGGCGGGCCGGCTGGCCGCCGACTCTCATAGTCACACGTCTCGGGTACGAAGGGACGTGTGGGGTGGGCGGAGCTGGGAGTGGGCCCGTCGCTGGAGCAATTCCGCTGGGCGAGGAGCTCGCGGATGCGGAAGACGGCCGAGTGGAAGACGAGATCGCCGCGGCAACTGCGCGCGGTGCGGCGGGTACAGCGGGAGTAGGCGCGCAGTGCCGAGCAGGGGTCCCCCACCTGCAACGGCTCCCCCTGGTGGCCACTGAAGTGCGACGTGGAGGCCACGTACTCCGCATTGCAGTGGTTGATCTGGCACTGCTGGCCGCACACTGCGGATGCACATGGAAAAACTTCACACACTAACAACATAACCGTGCCACATATGGCAACACTGTCTGCTCAAGATAAACATGGCAGAACTCGGAAGCACTGGAGCAAAATGAACTAGACAACTTAAAACATGACCTTTTAAGAAATTAATACCAATATCTCATTTTCCCATAATTGAATAACGGTTATTTAATAAATGTCATGAATAAGAATTGGCCTATAATACAGCACGATATCAGAAGATTTGCAATTCAATTTTTTTTAAGAAATAGCGAAAGACAAATCCAGTATTTTCTTCATCCAAATACATCATGCTGCTCATCTGTGGATATTAATGTCTAATAAATTCACCTCCATTCATATACAATGTATGACAATATTGGAATATGGCACAGAAGGATAGCCAAGTACTTCTGTCACATCAGAATTAAATAGCTTTTCTCAAGTCTGTCTTGAGTAATCTAGTTAAAAGACACAGGTTGCTGCTTACAAAGACAGATATATACACATATTAACTAAATGTTAAAATTTGGTATATTAAATACTTTAAATCAAGTCAGTTACTTTAAATAATTCCTGTGGTAAGAGATACCACTCCATGTACCCACCACGATAAAAATCTTCAATAATAAAAATGTTAATTTTTCATGTCCTTTTGAAGACTCTTCTATTTCCTCGCTAACATTTCTCTTCAGAGAGAATTTACAGTGTTTACCAATTGACTGAAAGTAAGAAGTAAGAATTAAAAAGAAAAACAAAGTATTCAATACTAATCCCCCCAGCCCTGACAAATCAAAACTTTTCAAGATTCAAGCTTGATTCTTTTAAATTGCAATTCAATGCTGACCAATTTAAATTCAGTGTTTTACATTAGTTTGAACTTTAGTAGCCTACTTTTCCAAACTTTCCAATTTTCCAAACTATCCGTCACTTAGGCCTACGTTTTTCGCTCATTTGTTATTCCATTACATAATGTATATGTCATGTCCTATTGACTAGATTTTAAAACATTAGGGTTAATGAATAGCCTGCTGCCTTTTGGCAATGAATGGCAGTGTGCTTTATACCCTGCATAAAGACATGAAACACTGAAACACTTTGCAAATGTGTTAACATGTAAATAACATGCCTACTCTGCATTAAAATGGCAGGTTACCCACGGCACTGAGAGACGCATTTAAATAAGCAGCATGCGGTCCGATGTGATCAACATCTGCATGCTGACTTAGCGAATACGAGCTCAATCGCTTTATTCTTCAATCTAAACCTTAAGTTTTACTATAAATATATCATTTAAAAAGTCACGCTACTATTGCTAAACGGCTACTATTTCAAGGAACAAACAAACTTGTTTGGTATCCAGAAGAGCCATATAAACAAATGGCATGTAAAACACGATAAAAACATCAAAAGCGATCATGAATAATTACCTCACCAAAGAAAGGACATCAGCGGTTGTGAATGGGCCTGTTTTAAATAGCGAGTAATCATCTTAGCCTTTTCTAGTAAATAGAAAACATTCTTTTTTTTCAAAACGAGTTACTGGTTAATACATCCAATAACTCCAAGCACTTAATCAATATATACACATTTTATATAGCCTATATATATATATATATATTCTATGAATATATAGTATTTATGAATACTATATATATATAGTATTCATAAATGCGGTCAATGAGCGCACTTTCTTGAATTTGTTTTAAAGTTTCTCAACTCGATTGTTAGTGAAAAGAAAGCAGATGTTCATAAATTTAGTCCATTTCTGTTCCGTAATTTGCCTAATAATCTGTAGCTAACTGCCGGTCCATATTTAAGAAAGCCAAACACACCATTCACGATATGCTACCGTAATATCGCTATGTAAACATGTCGGTAAACATCAGGAAACCCGCTCATCTATATTTTTTACCAGCTTCCTCTGGCTACAAAAAAAAAAGTTTACCATCAGAAGGATACAGGCACCACAATCAGCCTTACCTGGTCTGCGCCACAGCGAAAGCAAAACTATCATGCACACAATGGCCGGGGTGCAGAGCAGCCGCTCAGCCGGGGTTTGGGGTCCGTTTGTCCCCATGCCAATCCATTCAGTTGGAATTGGGCTCCTCGACTGCTCGGCGACACGGCTGAAGAAACAAACCCAACAAGCATTCATGCACCTCTGCTCCGCGGCGCTGTCATTCAGCAGGGGCTCAGGTCCATACAAGCCTCACTGGGGGTGGAGCAAGCGGGGCCACCCAGCCGAGGGCTTCGCTGACCGATGGGAAACTTATGTACAAGTAAATCATTTTATATTTACATCTGGTACAGCCACGTTATAACTAAGCATGCCTTAATATGGCTGATACCTTGACCGATCCCAAGAAGAACCTAAGAACGTGGCTGGAAATGCGCAGCTTCGCAGAATCCCAAGGCTGATGATCTCTTTCCAAAGCAAGAATAGGGAACAAAAAACAAATGAACTGTGACGAATCCTCCGTTTGATCTTGGCTACGCTTAATGGGAGCTGCAAAGCAAATGGTCAGTTGTACGAAGTCCCGATGTTGTCTTGGAAGGGGGTTGAACAACCTGCCCACCTGCCCCTGCTGCCAAAGCCGCTGTGTATGTGATCTGTCATAAGCACAGGTCTCAGTAACTCTTAGATCTCCCGCACAAGATATCATATCGCATAGTGGCGTAACGGATCGAAGTTGATCTGTGATCCGTACGGATCCTCGCCCACGGATCGGCACGCTTGTGATTAATTGCAAAGTTTAACCATAAGCGCGAGATACAGTTTTACTGCTGCGGTTACTTCTTAAAGTAAAATTTTCAATCTCGATGCTACGGGAGTCCATATAGGTCATGCATTCAGGGATCGAAATTTATTTCTCACAACGGGAGCGTTTTTAGTGGGATCGGCTTTACTCTTGACAAAGGCTGACTATTATTGCGTGACTATTGTGTGGCAATTTAAATGTGACTGTACCTGCACATTGTCACCTGTGACTCCAGGTAAGCTGTAATAATTCTTATTAAATATAATCTCTAACACTGAGAGACAGACACTTGGATGCTAACTGGTATTTTGCATGTGTGTCTCAAAAATAGTACTGCATGATCTTAATGGGGCCACGCCTGTCTTCAATGCCCTTGAACCCCTAAACAGAACCCCTTGGAATCCATCTTCACCTCTTGGGCCTACAAGTAAGCTATAGTAATTCCCATAATACAATAATACAATAATGTATAATGCTGCACAGTGGTCCCACAGATGTACAGTTAGGATAATTTGTCTCTTTAAATCACCATTATTCTGTTTGTGTCCTGCGATGGCCTGGCGTCCCATCCAGGACGCCCCCCCGCCCTGTGTTGCCTGGGATAGACTCCAGACCTCCCGCGCCCATGACCAGAACAAGAGGTTGAAAGATGGATGGATGATGATTTTGCCCCCGTCATGGACTCAAAGTTCATATCACATTGTGTTCCACTCTCATGTTCTCCCTGTCATCAGCTCCAAGCTCACCAATCCCTGTACAAAAGATGGATGAATGAAATAATAGATGATTTTTTTTAGAAGGATATATAAGGAGCTGCTCGCTGACCGTCCCTTGTGCTGTGCATCAATCGACCGAGGATGCAATGGAGGCTGCTACTGTGATGAGGCGTCCTTGAGATTCAGGGACTGTTGCTCGGGCGTCTATGTGACCTGTGTGACAGGTACGGCCCCCCCTGCCTTTGTCTGAATGCCCCTCCCTCCATGCTATTGCCGGCAAAGCTTTCAGGAAGCAATCCTAATGTCACATCCTCTTAATCGACACTCTGATGATAAAGTAATTCAGAACATTCTTAGAACCCTTCGATTCCATTTCCCCTGATGTTATCAGTTTCCTCTGTCTTTAGCTTATGGGAATTGGGCCCCTCCTGCAGGTCAGTAGCGCCACCAACACCATCAACTCTACTAACATCACCATCATGCTGGCTGCAGAAGCTGTATTCTCTGGTGGGGCACCATCCCACCTCCATAGCAGGACTGTAGTTGACTGGTTGTTAAATATGTCAAGATATTGTCATAAGTAACTTTAAACAGTCTCTTCAAAATTAGTTAATGAGTTAGCTCTGGACTTTGTGTAATAAACCACAGGCTATTCAGGCTCCACTACTCTGAGAATACTTGACACGTAAAAAAGGGAGACAGCTTTACCCAAAGAGATAGATTATCTCCTACTGCTGCTGGTTTGTCTGGGATAGGCTCTGGATCCCTGCAACCCTGCATAGGGCAGTTTGGGGGGGTGGGGGGGAGGTGTAGCTATTTGTCGAAATTGGAGTTAATTGGCAGTTTGGATATCTATGCCAGATGGATAAAGAGACGACTTCTGCATTAGTCATACTGTGTTTTAAGCGTTTTACCTTGCTAACAAACAGAAGGTATTATGCATTGATTTAGCAGATGTTTGTTTTAGTTAGTTTGGATGGAGCTGTTCACTGTCAGGCTCAGCAAATCGCTGGTGTCATGCGGTCGTGTTCTATGTTGTCACTTTGCACTTTTGCATAAGCGTTTTTTTGGTTGTGTGTGCGTCCGATCCGATACATTCGTTTGGATGCCGTTTTTTTGTTACTCCCAAGTACAAAAGATCAAATTCTGCTTATGACAAGCGAGTATTATAAATGGATGTTTGGACGTGTAATCCTCTTATTTACATCAAAACTAGGAGCTTAATATGTTTCATTTATTGATTTCCTGCCCCAGTCAGCTGCATGTCACCAGAACCGATGCACTGTTCTGGGCTCAGTTTTAGCTGTAACAGGGGGGGTGTTTCTGCTACAAAATCTGCGAGGTTGTTGGCGACTGCTGCCCTGACCACAATGCCACCAGTAAATGTAGGAGCTTGTATAGGAGCTGGTATTTTTCTCAGCCAGCTTCACCACCGACCAACCAGTCAAACCAGTCCCTACTGAAAACAAAAGCCATAGAGTCTCGGCAGAGTTTAAACACAAGGCGGAGGTTCCAGCAGGCGGTAAAGTACTCCTCCCATTCCAGATACAGCTATAACTGTGCTGGCCAACTTCAACACTGAATGTCCATCACAGGTAGAGATGTGTCTCAGAGGACAGGTGGGACTGGGAATAGATTGGCTCATCTACTGAACAATCCCAGCTTCTGTTGGTAATCAACATGGTTGCAGCATAGTTTAGACTGTTATTTGGTTCAATGGTTCCCAATCCTGAGGCAACCTGTGCTGATATTTTAGATCACGTGTCGGACAGAAATTTGTCTTAATCCCTATGAAATATAATCTCTGACGCAAACAGACACCTACCTGAATTAATAGTGAAGTGCATGAGACTTTCTTTTGAGTACCGGATGATGGTTTTCGTGGATGGGGTGGTGGCCGAGGGCACAGCACTGTTGTTTTTAAGCTCCAGGATCGGGGTTCAATGCCACCGACCTTCCATGTGTGTTTGGATGTTCTCTTTGTGTTGCTTGAACTTCATCCATGTGCTCCGCTTTCTTCCCAAAGACATGCAATATTAATGATTTTATGCATCTATAAATGATGAACAAGCCAGGGATCAGTACATAACTATCACTTAGTTACTGGTTAATTGATGCATTAAATAAGAATGTACTACACTGTTTGCGTCCCCTGAAATAAAGTGTGACCTTTATTCTGACTCAAATTATTAGCAATTATCCCTTAAAAATCCCTTCTTCTGTTTGTGGCTGAAACTTGTCTGCTGCACATGTGAACTATGTATGAAACTCTGGGTTTCACCTCTTTGGGTCACATAAACAGAACAATGGCTCAGTGATAGAGTGGCCTTTTGAATCTCCTCCAGGGTCACCGCCTGTTTACTGCAGACCAGGTCTTTTACCACAGCGATGCCTGAACGGATGAGCAGATGTGGCTCTTGTCTATTTTATCTGCTTCTAAATACATCTGCTGAAATCCCGGTCCATCTGGCTGCATATTTTCTTATGACCAGTCTCCCGCTATGATTCTGTTTTTCCACACGAAGAAGAAATGCTTACCCAAGAGCCCCCGCTTTCCTTCCCTGGGTAGCCTAAAGACACTATATGTCTAGTCATGTCTCCATGGAATTCCACTTGCGGTGTCTGTTTTGTTGAGCATAGATTTTGGGGTTCCAATCTATTCTATTTATTCCTATATTTTTACCATAAAACCAGCATTGTCAACACACATGTATATGATCCTACTGTTAAGCAAACAGTTACAGTCCTGAATGGTTGCAGTAACATGAAACAAAATCCAGGGATAGTATGTGGCATTATGTCTCACCTTTATGCAGAGGTGGATAGTCCAGATCCTGATTGTAAAAATCCAGACCAAGAATTTGTTTCAACCAACCAATTAATTATATAGAGCTACAATCATAGAGTACTCAACTGGTTGGTTGAAACAAAATTTTGGTCTGGATTTTTATGTTCAGGACCTGAAATTCCCACCTCTGACTTTACGTGACATTCAGGATCATAGACACAGATTATGATATTCTGCTATACAAAGACACCATCATCTATCATTCTATGGATTGAAATTAGGCATTTAAGATGCTGCATATGAGTCAGAGAGATGTTAAAACTTAATCATTTAGCCATTGTCATTTTTGGAGAAGCTTATAATGAATCGCATTTTGTTGAGAAACTGCGGGCAAAAAACTAAGATAAAACTTCCAGGGTGGGGAAAAAAAAAAACACGAGTGATTTGGATGCTGCATTTTTTTCTGCTTTTTTAATGGATCCAGGGTTGACGTTCACAGTGAGACGGCAGATGGCTTCTCTCGCGTGCCTGAACATCTGCTCAACACACGCTGCAAAACAGCGATGGGCTCGGCTGGCCCCGCAAAGCATTTAACTTCCTGGCAGTTTAACTCCCCCCCCCCTCCCCCCAGCCCATACAAACCACCTTATTATTCACACAGTTGTGAATACTTGGGCAGGTGGAAGCACAGTTTGTGAAAACAGAGATGTCAGTTGGTCTGATGGAGGGGGACCTACCTCATCCAAGGCACATGATGAGTCGACCTTACACACATGGCTGCTGATGTTTTTCACAGGGCTGGCCTTTCACTTGCTGCCATGTGTTTGCTCCCATACACACTCAACCAAGAAGAAACTGTAAGGTGAGAGAAATATTAAAAGCATTAGACTGTTTGCATTTGTTAACCAAGTCAGCTACCGTTAAATCACTACTCTAAATACATCTTTATTCTTTGGCTTTTAATTTGCTTTGATTTTTAGATTTTTGTTTGTAGTTATTTAGTTTTATGATTGATCACTTCTATAACTCTTTTTTAGTCTTTTTTTAAATTCGGATCATCCATTCATTCCGTCAGTTCAGTTCATTGGTTTCTATGCTGTACAGCGCTGTGATCAAAGTGTATTGTTTGAAAAGCGCTTTGTATGTAAAGCGGACATTGATGTTGACATTCTGAGAAACGTCATCCTAAATACCCTTTTAAATGTATTTTGTAGAGTTCAGAAAATTCTTTTTGTTCCAGGCATGAGATCCCAGGCTGATTTGAATTCTTTGCCTGGGAAAATGGACCTACTGAAGCTGGTCTGTTTCGTCACATTCTTGCGTTTAAGGTCCACTCTTTTCATTGGATCTTGAAGGGATTGTCCCAAACTGAAGCAAATCCAAGACATTTTTTCTTCAAATTACTAACATTATTTCCTGTAGACTTTTGCTAAGTCAGATTTCTGAACAGCTCACATTACTTCATAGACAGATCTTCCTGTCCTAATCCCCATTAAAACGTAAATAGTTATCAGGTAAAGACTTCCA